GACGCCGCTTGACGGCGTCCTCCAGTTCCGACACCTTATGTTTCCTGTCGCCCTGGAATTCCAGGGGCTTGTTCGGGAATTCCCTAAAATCACTCAGCTGATTAACTTCTAATGTGACGCCAGATAGCCTGACCATTCTGTCAACAATTATTCACATATAGTCAGGGGTTTTTCTAGTTTCAAAGTTGTGCGTCTTCTCTGACTTACTTAGCTCCTTGTTGTCAACCCTGAAAATTTTCAGTTGCGGAGTATTAACTTATAGTTGGTAACTGTTTGAATTTAATTTTTTGCAGGCACGTTACAACTTTATTTTTTCTTTAGCTTATTACACACACTAGCTTGTTATATTTATCAAAACTCGTTTCAATTATCCACGAAAACTGCGGATCCGTAAAACTTAGTGGCATTTGTATACGTATCCTTCACGGGCTTCGTTATTTCAGTTCATTTGGAATTTATACTTACACAGATTAAAAAAACAGAACTCAGTCATGTAGTTTAATAACCGTAAGGCCTCTGCGACTGCAAAATTCTAAGGGCAACTAGTTGGGCCTGTTTACTCAGCTCACATTTACGATTAAACTCTTTAGATTAGGCCGTGCTACTAAACTGCAGGTGTGAATACCGAGCTGCGCATTTTATGGCCATTCCCGACCAACACTTCCCCGTTCAACCTTTAGAAACCGCAAATTACACCAGTAAACCAACACCGTCTCATTCACTGAGTTTGCCTTTGGTTCTGACTCGCTCTTCATCCAGATCCCCTGTAGTCTATAATGCTATATTGAGCACGCTGCTAGGAAAGCTTCGCATAATTCAGGCCTTCTATTACGGATGCTGAGTGAAGTCTGTGCCAATGGTAAAGAGATTGACCTCTGTGATGTTACTTCAGACACCCGTTAAAACTGTTCTCTCATGTCTGCTCAACTACGTAATTGACTGATTTCCCCTACATGCACTTACAGATTACTCGCGCGTTACAACAAGCCACAGAACACGTATTATAAATCTCAATTAAGTGAAAGAAGTTGCGCTACTGGAAAGTTTCCTGACGGGAATGCTATGTGTTCCTTAGCATAAGTGTAAGGCTAATGTAAGTATGCCGAAAGTGAATCTCTCCGAAAGGGTAGCCGACTTCGCAATTGGATAAACCTTTTGGGCATATTAGCCGGTGAATATAGAAGATAGGTTCTTTTATCTTCTATCAAGCACTCTGTGAAACGAACCTGCTGTTTGC